TTCGAATTTTGGAGTGGAGCGTTCCGCTGTGGAATTAGGCCGAGAATAGGAGGAGGAAACACTCGAGAGTCCAATTACCTTTTCGAAAATTAGCGGAAGCGCAATTTGTACCGAGCCTCCAGCGCTGGAGATCGGAACCCTGAATCTGGGAGCCACAACTGAGCGGAACCCGGGTGGCAGGACCAACGTGACGAATCCCGGTCCAGCTGAGCGACTAGGCTACCTCATTTACTTCCGAGAGTACTACCCAGAGTTACTTATCCTTGGTTTTTATCGTTTTTGCGTAGGGTTTTCATCTTTACACACCCCTCTTTTACCGGACATAGTCTTGAAGCGTATCTAGACAAGTGCCATGGTAGCTCAGAGAAATCCTCTTGAAAAGGGCTACTCGAGCCAAGCAGGTTATTGCACACTACCCGTGTGCCAGAAAAGGGTGTTCGCTCGGGATGGTTGAGGGCATCCGTTGTGATCTGTGCCAGGATTGGTTTCACCAATGTTGCAGTGAACTAACTTCCAAGGCAGTTGAACACTACGCTGTCCACAAGTTTCTCAAATGGGTTTGTCCAAACTGCACCAGCTCTATCGGAATATCCAAGGAGAAAACACTGTCTTCGAAAAGAAACTCTCCTTCACTATTGGTAGTGCAATCTAATCCATGTAACTCGACCCCAAGTAGGGAGATAATCGAAGGTAAACCCGAGCTGGGGACCCTGATGCCTAGGGAGGGAAATCAGCCTGAAGTGATTAACGACCGGGAATGGATTTTAGTGGGGAAGCCTGAGCGTGATGAACAACAAACCACGTCAGCGGCACCCCTAAGCCGAGGGGTTAAGTCCAGCCCTAGGGCACGCGTTGCTAAACCGGCAACCGCACGGATTAGTGTGCAAACCGCCGGAAATAGGAGGGGAACCAACAAGGCTACCCAGTGTCACTTCCCACCAGGGAAGGGGCACTTGTTGCGCGCATGGACGCTAACGAGGAGGCCACTGCGAAGCTCGCCAAAATCACCAACAACCTGAGAGACTCCCTGCATAGGCTCGAGACCCATACCAACACAGCCCTAGGGATAAACAGAAATGTCGTTATCAGGGGCATCCCCGAGCCGTTCTGTAGAGAAAAGCGCAGCCGCAGGCAAACGCTCCTACACCAAGTTAGAAACATAATCAGACTCACTCAGATCCCCTCAGAGGTTCAGATCAAGCGAGCGTTGCACCTTGGTAAGTGGAAGAGCGATAAACAAGCACCTAGTGCCTTACCACCTAGGCCAACCGTTGTAGAGCTTCATAACCCGAGGCATCGGCACTTGATGCTGGCAGCTTCCGCCAATGTGAGGAAGTTGACCGAAGAGCAGGTAACCATAGGACCGGACTACCCCCGCGGACATAACACACGCTCCACCTAGCTGCAGGCAGCAATTTAGCACCAAACTTCTGTCCGTCAACGTAGTAAGAGTGGGGCACGATAATCCGCGCAGGAAAACGGCCCCCGCTCCCAGAGATGGCCCGATGGGTGAATCTCTAGGTCACGAAGACCACAATAGGGCGGTGGACCCGCAGGGAAACTCCGCCACAAGACCAGAGGTAAAAGCTTGAAGGTCACCCGGGAGCAACTCCCGGGTGCGACCCCTCAAAAGCAATAGGAGGTAAAAGGGCGCAGACTCTCAGTGTTTACTACATTAACGCCTGCAGCCTAATGAACAAGTGGGCCGAGGTACCACAAGGCTCGGTGCTTGGACCATTGTTATTTCTGGTCTTCATCAATGATCTAGTTCCCCTTCTGTCGAACCCGACGTTCATCTTTGCAGACCACGTTAAACTACTTGGCTCGCATCAGGGGGTAGACCTCCAGCTTGACCTAGATGCAGTACAAGCATGGTCTGCAGAGTGGGGTCTCCCTCTAAATGCAGCAAAGTACAAGATCCTACGAGCCGGGAGTGCTCAGGGTTTTGGACCACGCTACATGGGAGCTCGCAACGGGGTTGCTATGGCAGTTGTGTCAGGGCTCAGGGACCTGGGGATCGCTCTGAACTCCGCTTTTAACTCCTCTGCCCAGTGTCTTCCTGCAACACGTACGGCCAATAGAGCGTTGTTCAAGTTGAAGCGCACAATGGCGCCTAGGGATCCAGTCGTGCTAATCCCGCTCTACATGGCCTTCGTTCGGCCGCATCTGGAGTACTGCGTACAAGCTTGGTCCCTAATCTGAAGAAGGACCAAGGTACTCTGGAAATGGTACAGAAGAGGTTCACAAGCATGTTCCCGCACCTTCGGGGAGCGACATATGCCGAACGCCTCCAGGGGCTGAAACTGTTCTCACTCATTCGGAGAAGGTTGAGGGTGGACCTGATCGAGACCTTCCTGTAGTGATAGTATAAGTAGTAGTAGTGAAGTCAGGCATAGAATTCAGGACACGAACTACGCAATAGGAATCACGGAACACGAATTAGAAAACTGATAGTACTGGACCGTAATGGCTTGAACTCGCAATAACCCGCAGGATCGAGACGCGAGGAAAAAGGCCACAAGACAGGCGAATCACAAAGTCGTCTATTGAAGGAAATGAGAGTGAATATATATGTACACAAGAAAAGATCATTGGCTACCTTAGTTTCCACCAATAATATTGCATCACAGCTTGCGTCATATTGCTCTTCTCTGCATTGTATCTGATTGGCTGGAACGGTGCACCAATGACGCGTATCCGGAGACCGTGCACGTGAAGCTAACCGGAGTTGACGGCCTTCCGGTGCCTTCTTACGGGTCTCTGTATGCGCGCGACCTCCTAGCGTCTCGTTGCCCGAAGTAGACAAAAACACTCGTGGGAGTCGTAGACGTTTATTGGCGAGTTGTGGTACTAGATAGTACCGAAACGTGCCAAGGTGACGCTAAACAAAGCAAGCAACAAATGCAGTAGCAGAGCGATAGCGTGTCACACGTGTAGCATGGGTTTCAACAGGACCCAGCTTATATATACGCCTGAGAGGAAAACAGTGCTCGGTAAAACAAACAGAAGTAAAACAAAGAAAATATCACAGTTCGAGTCAGAGTTGATTGTGAAGAAAATATGAACGGAAAACGTCCTCGTGGATTGCTCCTTTTCTTCGTACAATCATGGTCACTACACACGTGCTACTGGCGGCAGCGCTCAAGGTCGATTGACTACCAATGTCCGGAAACTGTACCGCGCTGCTCCAGGGCAGGCGTGCTCTCGTAGATCCGAATCACCACACTTCCGTATCTTGAACGGTTTCTCTCAGGGAACCTCTTACCTATTTCGGCCGAGCGGTGTGCCCAACAAAAGGGGACACAGCATGAAGTTAGACAAGCCTCGGGCGCTCAAACCCCTGAGAGCCACCTTTTTCTCGCACCGGGTAATTCATACATGAAACAAACTGCCGCAGGAAGTAGTGGCGTCAAAAACGATTGCCGAGTTCAAGCTGAAGCTTGACGCTTACTGGGCATCAGCGTTCTCCGGGCTTAAGGTCGATAAAAGCTCGTCCGTCTCCGGGTCCCCCACTTTTAACTCTTTATCTCTTCTCCACTTTGTTTTCTCCAACTCTCTCAGCTCCAATTTTCCTCCGCTGTGCACCACATTTTACTGAAAGTTTTCAACATCCAGCATCACCACTTGTAGGTCATGTCTTCTCCCAACACACCTTTTACTCTGGGTAGCTCGAAGCGGTTGGTTGCGAGCTGTTACGTTGATCCTGGTAAAACCTCAGACGTGTACTGTCACTCAGAGGCGGCACTGGATGAACTTCAAAGCGGCACTGGATGCGTGTTGGTCAGAAATTTTCCCTGAGGTTAGGTGGTAATGCATGCTACCGAAAGCAGGGTAAATTGCAGTCCTGAACTATGGAATCGAGGCTTTAAATTGCACTTGAAACTGATGTGTTTCAGAAAACTAAGGTCTCGCACCGACGAGGCGAGAAGACATCTCTTCTGTTTTCTCTTT